TTCTAGACAGAGTATGTAGTAACAAATTGACCCTCTAGGGGGCAGTGCCACTTTTGATGGGAGATGAGCATAGACTGTAGGCAAATAAGAAAAAGGTAACGGTTCGCTATGAGAGAACATGTCGCCGGTGAGACGCAAGTCGAGGAAGAATGGAATAAGGTAGAAACAAAAAATGTTTCCTGATGAAAGAAGAGAGTGTACTCTTTCTTTTGGTGTGTTCGGTGTTTACATAGTCATAGCACAAACTATTCTGTGGCTCTTGAAAAATCAGTCAAAATGCTCAAAAAACTCTGGCAGTATGGGACTCTCTGTTCTGAAAATGGCTGCCAGTCAATGAGTTAATGTGCTTTGTCCCTATTCAAATAAATAAATAGATTAAAAAAACGACCCCCCCGGGAGGTCCTGGATCCCCACCTTCTCCTGCCGTTTCCTCTTCTTCCAGGCCAGGAAGGTCTCCAGCGTGATGCGGGTCACCTCCACGCCCAGAGCCGCTCGCTGGGGGAAATATATTTTATTTTAATATATGAGTCTGTGCTCCATTTGTCCAAAGAACAGCTCATTTTTCTATAGAAGTTGGGTCAGAAAATCACAGAAAACAGGCCTTAATGCTCCACCCCCTCCTGCCCCCCCATCATGGCTGCCCTCTTTAACCCACAACCCCCCCATCAGACGGCCGTTTGTGGCTTTAAATGAGTTTAAATGGAGCCCAAACGTTTTCGTTTTTCCTGTTTGTTTCTTAATATCATATTAAGAATATATATTATGATATATATTATATTAATATATGAGTCTGTGTTCCATTTGTCCAAAGAACAGTTCATTTTTCTACAGAAGTTTGTTCCAAAATGTTTTTAGAGTAAGCTGAGGGGGGTTTCCTCGCCTCATTATAATTCTATACTGTGATCAAATTCTGTTTATTTAGTGAAAGATGAAAATACTTAATTTCATTTAGGTCATTTGGTTAAAAAAAATATATATGTGAGGTTAAATATAGTCTTATTTGCTGGAAGGATGAGGTTAAATATCCCTGCCATTTAAGTCATAGACTAAATTATGATTATATTAAGTTCTTAAAAAAAATAAAACTAATTTTAAGAGCTTGAAGATATTTTTTTTCTTTTCTGAAATACAGAAACATTAAAACAGAAGCTAAATCCACATAAAACACATAATGGGCTCACCCTAGTTTCCCACCAGATAAATCCTCCAGACTCCGCCCTCTTTCCCCCTTACTGCCTTTAAAATGGTATCTTCCTTCTGGGAGGAGCTTATTCCTCAGAGGCCACGCCCCTTTTAGAGACCACTTTATTTGTAGATGAACATAAACCAATGTGAGTTGTCACTTCTCTGAATGGGACCCGACTTACAGTGGGGGAAATAAGTATCTGACCCCTTGCTGATTTTGCAGGTTTGCCCACTTACAAAGAATGCTTATTTTTCCTCATCAGATGGTTATCAATTTTTATAAATTCATATGATGTGATTTTCTGGAATTTTCTTTGGGATTCTGTCTTTCACTGTTAGAATATACAGCACTGTTTCAGAAAATTAGAATATTGTGATAAAGTTCTTTATATTTTGAGATAGGATTTTTGAGTTTTTTATTCAGCTGTACGCCATAATCAGCGATATTAAAACAATAAAAGGCTTGCGATATTTCAGTTGATTTGTAATGAATCCAGAATGTATGACATTTCATGTTTTTTAATTGCATTACAGAAAATAAAGAACTTTATCACAATATTCTAACTTTCTGAGACACTCCTGTACATATGATTAGAGTTATAGATCTTTCCATTCTTTGTAAGTGGGCAAACCTGCAAAATCAGCAAGGGCTCAAATACTTATTTCCCCCACTGTATGACTGATAACTTCCATTAGATCCTCTCAGGCTTTGACCCCCTCTCACCTCGTTCTCTATCAGCTCCTCCAGGGAAACCTCCTCCTCGGTTTCCTCCTTCTTCTTGTCCTTTTTCAGCACGAAGCCGGGCGGCAGCGCGTGCCGGTACATGCAGGTGTCGCCCCCTCCTGGACACACCCAGAACCAGCCGTACTTGTTGTTCTCGATGGCGTCCAGGAAGTACTTGCACACCTGCGCAGGAACAGGGGAAATGGAGAGGTGGGCATTATTAGAAAAGGTTCAGCCCCCTGCTCTTGTTCTCCTCTTCATCATTACATTTATCAGACTTACTATTTGAGTTTTGGCTTTCTTCTTCTCGGCCTCTCCGTGTTTTTTGTTGATCACCTCCTCCAGCTTCTTCTCGTCCCAGTTCTCCATGGTGTCTGGGCAGAGGGTGGGGTGTCAAAAGTATTAATACTCAAAACAATATCGATACTAAAACGTTGTATCCGGATAAGATACTCATTTTCAAAAGTATCGATACCCCCCCCTCCCTCCCTTCTCTCTGATTTATTTATTTATTCACTCCGGATCGGAATTGAAAAAAGATGGATCAAACATCCCTAATAAGTATAAACTTATATACCAAGAATAACTACGGTTCAGAAACTATTTAAGATAGCCAACCTCTGATTTCTTTAACCCTACATGTGTGTTTGACCAAAAACCCAATTCTTTCCATGCATGTAATATTTTGAACAAGTACAATCTTTGAAATTGTGAAAATTTGATAAATTTTAAGTATGTCTGCTTAATTTATAAAGCGCTACATGGACTAGCCCCACCTCCTGTGTCTACCCTGTTCAAACCTAAGACTTCCAGTGGTCTGAGAACCAGAGGAGACTGTGAGGTTCCTCACAGAAGAACAACTTTTGGTCAGAACCACTTTCTGTGAGAGCCACGAACATCTGGAACAGTCTTCCTCTGCACATATGAGCCCTACACTGGTCAGCTTTAGAGCTCAACTTAAATTATGGATGAAAGCAAACCAGTCATGTAACCACTAAACTCTTAACATTTCCTTGTGATGCTTATATTGTATATTGTATGTTCTTTCTTATATATTTGCCTGCCTCGGGACTACGAATGAAAACTAGCTTAGTAGCTATAATCCGGCATATGTACATCTGTTTTTATACTGATGTTCATTAATGTGTTTTGTCCATATTCAAACAAACAAATAGATGGATAGATAGATAGATGAATAGATGGATAGATAGATGGATGGATGGATAGATAGATAGATAGATAGATAGATGAATAGATGGATAGATAGATAGATAGATAGATAGATAGATAGATAGATAGATAGATAGATAGATAGATAGATAGATAGATAGATAGATAGATAGATAGATAAAATAAAACATAAAACTTAAAAAGAAGCACAGAGCTGGTGGTGGACAGATGTTAACCTTTGAACTACAGGCCCATTTTGATGCTGGTTCTGGAGAACCAGGAGGCTGGAGCTGTTCTCACCTTTCTCCAGGTCTTCGTCTCTTTCGTCCACGTAGAGGCTCCTCTTCTCGCACTTCCTCTCCATGGACAGGTCGTGGCTGAACTTGCACTTGTCCCCTTTGGTGCACTGGCCTTGCTTGAAGAAGGCGCACAGCACCGACTTTGGGTCCACTCCTGCAGGCAGAGGAGAGGAAATGCAGATCCAGACTCCAGATCCAGTTTTTATTTTAAGTCTGATCCCACATTAGCATTAGCATCTCCTAACCCACAGGTCTGTGTCCTAACCATTAAGTTGTTATCAGTAAATCCCTGTTAAACATGAGTCTGACAACTAGGTAAGAATATAAATAACTTTAAACTTTAACAACATATGCTCTGATAGGCCGGGATCGGGATCGGAAGAGAAAAAAGTTGGATCAAACATCCCTAATCCAGACTCCAGATCCATTTTTTATTCTAAAGTCCGATCCCACATTAGCATTACCCTTAGCATTAGCATCTCCTAACCCACAGGTCTGTGTCCTAACCATTAAGTTGTTATCAGAGTAAATCCCTGTTCAACATGAGTCTGACAACTACGTAAGTACATAAATAACTTTAAACTTTAACACATGCTCTGATAGGCCGGGATCGGTATCGAAGGTTAAAAAAGCAGAATCGGGACATCCCTCGTTAGTGCGCCCGTTACCTTTGCTGACTTTCTGGGCGGCGACCACCGGTTTGAAGAGCTCGTTGAGCTCGTCGAGCTCCTTCTTCTTGTCGGACTTCTTCCCGGTTTTGTCCGCATCGGCCTGTGTGAGAACCCACAATCACAGATCAGAGCCAATCGAGGCAGCAAAGCAGAGTTTAGGCGAGAATAAAGAAAACCGGAGACCTGTCTGGCGCTCTGCGCGCCATATTTAACTTGATGGGTAACGTTTTTGATGAACTTCTGCTGCTTGGCCCCTTTCTTGTTCTTCAAGCCAAAAGTCTTGTCCTGAAAGACACAAAAACAGGTTGGAAAAAAACACACAGCTTTTCCAGAGCAAAACGGTGAGTTTTTGTCACTTCAGTGATGTAAAAAAAAAACAATGTTAAGCCACATAACCGCTCAGGCTGAAGTTTACCACTGGTCACTGAAGTAACCTGGAGCCGATCCAGACACGGTCAAAGTTCAGAGAGCGATTAAAGCCTGTTTGATTCTGAGATGCATGAAAAACATTTTCAAATCACGCCGTTGCTGTAAAATCAACAGAAACTTCATTAACTTTACCAGGACCTGGAAATATGGTGAATCTACTCTAAACAAACCACACTACCAGGGCCAGAGTTTAGACAATATAAAGAAGTGTAAAGATTTATAGTAACAAATAAAACACAAGAAAAACAAAAAACAACAAAGTTTTAAAAAGTCCTTTTTTGTCTTTAAAAAAAAAAATGAAATGACGATTTCAGTAAACATGATGTGAGTGGATAAATTGTTCTTTAGGTTATTTAAAAGTATATTCTAAGCACAATAATTCTGACCGGTAAATCTGCTAAATGACAAACATGAACTGATCTGATGCACATTAATCTGTCACAGAACATACAGCTTTCACTCGTATTTTAATCCATGATTGTTCTTACACTGCGTTCTGATCAAATAACCCCTTCATATGCAGTTATTGTGCAGGACGTCTTCAGGATGAAACCTCCAGTCCTTCAGTTTTAACGTCCTGCGAGTGGTCATTAGTCAGTCATTTTAGGTCATTAGTCATATGAACAAAACCTGCTTCCTGTCAGATTAAACAGGAATAAATAAGACGATAACGGACATAGTTTGGGAACTATTACATTTCAACTCAAGACTATGCCACGTGAATGGAAAAAGACAGATAAGCTGTTTATGGTGGTTTTAAAGCAAATGTCCCACATAGGAGATTACTTTGGGTTAGTTAAAGGATTCATAACAATGATTGATTTGCTGTTGTTGTTTATGTGGCGTTAACTGGCTTTCAGACTGCAACATTACCAGCTGCTAGTGGATAATTGGCTCTGTGGGGAAGGCTGTTTGATACAAAAATAAATGCACACGTCAGGGAACTCCATCAGAACTTTTGCTCAGGTGATTTTCATTTGATTTTTTTGCTCACCACTCATTTTTAATCCATTACCACCAGATGGGGACGTTAATTACAGCAACCACCTTCCGTTTGGTTGCGTTGACACCAGAACAGAATAATAAACTGGTTAGGAAAACAATCCTAACATGGTCAGAGTTATCGGACTCATTCTCACGTTCAAAAAAATACAACTCCAACTTAAATTAGCTTGATCTAAAAGGACTCCCGGATCAGATCTGAGAACAAGGCCCAGCTCACCACCTGTAAAATGTAAAAACACATCGATATTTTTTATCGATAGTTAAAAAGACGCTTTTATAATTGGTGCCATAAACCAGCAGGTACAGGCCTTTATCAGAAAAAGCCCGGACACTTGATCGGGGACACGGCCTTTCCAGCAGCTTCTGGCCGCCTCATGTTAGCTCAATAATCAACTATCACATCTAAAACATCTACGAGGAGATAGAGTAGCCATTGGTAACGGTTACAGATGAACTGACAACTGTCCAAACACGAGAATAACGTCCAACGTTCACTTCTGCACTTCTACTAGCATCAGTTAGCCGTGTTTTTGGCTAACCGGCTAATGCTAACCACCGCCGTGCTAACTCGTGTCATTTTTACCTCAATAATCTTTTCCTTTTTCTTCTCTTGGGTTTTTTTATTCCCCGTGGCCGGGGCGGGTTTCTTCGGAGGCATACTGGCTCAGGAATAGCTGTGTACAGGACGCGTTTAGCCGTATTATCTTTATTTTCTGACTGAGGTAAGGCTTGGGTAACAACTCCACATTAACCAGTTGATGCTAGCACGGCAGCTATCGCGGCGCCTTCTAGGCCACATGTGAGTTGTTGCCGTCCCCTGACGTCATCACGCACGCCGAAATGCATCATGGGGGATGAAGTTACTCAGGCGTAAAGTTTCTGACAAAATCTCATCGTGTTTAAACGCCGAAGCCTGCTGATGTTGTTCAGTTAAATCAATGTTTAAAATATGAGATTAAAAAATAATAATAATAATAAAAGATAGTGTATTTATAGATTGTTTTCTTTTATTTCATGAGAACCCCTCAATTATTCAACATTTCTTAAGGTTATAATCAAATAAGAATTGCTTTAATTGAGGATTTGCACAGGAGAAATAAAAAATAAATACTTAACACTGTAAAATGAGATTTTTTTTGCAGAGATCAGAGTAAATTGGAGGAGATTCAACTTAGATTAAATCATTCAGCAGCAATGTAACCATTTAGTCATCAGGGGTCAGTATTGTTTCATCTGCTGAGGCGAAAGGTTAAAACCTGTTAAGAACTTAATAAAACGTCAGGAATAATGAAAATGGCATATATTAATTATGAATGCAAATCCTATGATAATATATCAGAGTTATACTTTACTCATCAGATTTGCATTATTTTTGGTTCGATGCACTTTCTCCTCAGTCTTAAAAGTTGTTTTACTGTTCTTACGCCATAACCTAATCGTAAACAAGATATGAGGATGACTGATTTAGGAGATGTTTGTTTTAGACGAATCAAGAAATCATCAAGAAAAAAAAAGTGTCTGTGTGACAGGTGGTGCATAAAAATGTTGTTACACAGCTGCCATCTGGTCCATCAAAATAAGCCTGTTAGCATTTGTGAATTCTCTAATAGTTTGATTACGGCATTTGTGGATTGATAAGTGGCTCTAAGTGACTTT